ACCAACACTGCCTTGATTACTGTAGCTTTAGAGGAAGTCTTAAAATTAGGTACTAAATGTCTTCCAACACTGTCTTTTTCTTTTACTTTTTACTTTTCTAGGTCCTTTGTACTCCTACATAACTTTTAATTTTCAATATCCAATTCTTCATTTATAGCAAGTATACATAGGCCTGAATTTTTATATATACCTTGTGTTTTCTAATCCTGCTAAATTCAAATACAAATTATAGGGGCTTCTAGAGATTTCTTAGTATTTTCTCTGTAGAGGATCATTTCATCCATATATAAAGATTTTGCTACTACCTTGCCAATCCTATCCTAATTGTGTCATTTTATTGTTGTAGTTTTTCACAGTGGGAAATATTTATAAATATTTCCACCTGTTTCCTCCTTTTCACATTCTTTGCATTTTCCTTTATAAATGGATCCATTTTCCTCTTTGTATAAGTATATGGAATTTTGTAAGAACGTTTTAGACCCCATGTTATATTATTTGCTTTAGTAAAACTTCTAAGACCTCTTGGCACCAGTTCTTCCAGAAAAAGATTACAATTTCTAAGTGTTTACATTGACATAGAATGTTGTTTTAACTCAGACAGCTGAGGAAAAATGTATCACCAATTACATATCTATACATGATTTATTTGCTTTTGAACATTGTTTAGGCTAAAAAATTAAGCACCCAATTCATGCTTTTGTGTGGAGCCTTATCCGTATTTCCTCCTAAGACAGAAATATGAAGCAAGTTTTCTTTGGTCAGTTGTAAGGAGATTAATCTCATCAGTGAAAAATCCACAGGCAGAATCTAATTTAACACAAATCAACTTTCAAAAATCAACCTAAAACCAGCACATTCAGGTTTAAGCTATTAGGAAATGAATTTGAGGGGGAGACACAGCATTCAATTAATAAGTCAAATGGTTCTGGATCAGGATAGAGTCATGTACTGAGCCTTTTATCTAAGGACTACTTCACTCTTTTTTCAGGCTTATGCCCAACAATTACCAGAATGTTGTAGCCTTCATTTTTGCCATTGAAGAGATCCACAGGAATCCTGATCTTTTACCCAAGGTATCTCTGGGATATGATTACCATAATTTACTTTACAGTTACTGGAAATTATTAGAGAGTGTCCTCATGTTGTACACAGGACAAAAAGAGACACCTAACTATAGCTGTGGGAGAGAGACTAAGTCCATAGCATTGCTAACAGGATCACCATGGGTAATTTCTTCTCAAATTGGACCATTGCTGGAACTCTACAAATTTCCACAGGTGAGGGATGGTATATAGGGAGGGATAAAATTATGTCATATTAGTTGACAGTTTCAGGTTCAATTCCTAAGAATGGCAAATGGATGGACTTGGTTTGTGTTACACAAATTGTACAACCCCTAAGTGTAACACAATGAGATTTAACCATTACTCACATTTTCTTTATGAACATCAGAAAGGAGGGACAGAGGAAATTAAAGATTTCCTAAACTGAGTCTGCTCAGTTATTTTCTAAAACAGGATACTTATGAAATGAGATGATTAAATAGATGGGACAATGAATATTCCTTCTGCAATTTTCAGCTGTTTCTTAATGCTCTTGAGGTTTAAGATTGTGCTTTTGTCAACTCTCTTCACATAACTCCCAATTTTCTTTTCCTTTTAGCTTACCTTTGGCACTTTTGATCCTGAGTTCAGTGAAAATGGCCAGTTTCCTTCTCTCCATCAGATGGCTCCAAAGGATGCATTTCTGGCCCTTGGAATGGTTTCCTTGATGCTTCATTTCACCTGGACCTGGGTGAGACTGATCATTACAGAAAGCCAGAATGGTTTTTGGTTTCTCTCAGATGTGAGGGGAGAGATGGACAGGAATGGAGTTTGTGTACCATTTGTAAAAATGATTGCAAATGCTTTTGTATCCTACCTCTCAGTTACAATGCTGCAAGATTTCCTGACTAGGGAAATGCCACCAGTAAATGTGGTTATTATTTACTATGATACTGATAGTCTAAATCATATCAACTATCAGATAGGGGTACATTTAGTGACATGGAGAGTCTGGGTCACAAACTCTCAATGGCATGCTGACATGGCTGGGAGAAATTTCATCCTTGATTCATTCCATGGGACTCTCATTCTTTCACACCACCATGATGAAATGTCTGGTTTTAATAAGTTTATCCAGATAGCTACCCCCTTCAAATACCCAGAAGACACTTTTCTCACTCTGTATTGGTTCCAGAATTTCCACTGCTCATTCTCTGATTCTGACTGTTCACTGAAGGACTGTACACCTAATGCTTCTCTGGCATGGCTCCCTGTAAAT